AGCAAGCCAGTAAGCTGTGCTCCAGGCTCCTGTCCTGAGTTCCTGCCTTGGCTTCACTTGATGATAAACTGTGCTATGAGCCAAATAAACCTTTTCCTCCCAAAGGTGGTTTTGGTCAGTGTTTTTATCACAGCAATAGAAAGCTAACTAGAACAAAAATTGGTACTTGAGAGTGGGCTATTGCTGTGATAGACCTAACCTAGTTGTTTTAGGGAGGATTGTAGAGGTTTTTGGGGCTTGGGACTGGAAAAGCTAGTGTTTAGAGCTTTATTGAGCTGTTCTGGAAGAATTTGAAAATAATGCTGAAAGAGGTGTAGATAATGGAGGCCTGACTTGTGAAGTTTCAAGGGAAGCAAAGACTATCTGGGCTATTTGTGTGATATTTTGAATTGAGAATCTGGTTTCTCGTCACCTGGTGCTGAAGAATCAGCTATGACTAAGGAGATCAGCACCACTGAAGCACAACTTTACCGGAATAATTGATGCTGGTTAGCTGGGGCTGAAAAATCAGCTGTAACAAGAGACCAGCATCATTGGGGTGAAATCTTCTGGGAAATATCTCCTCAGGGTCAACATCCAGACACTGGGGTCCAGAGGTGACCCGAGGCTCCATCTCAACCTAGAAGCAGGACTTGGTAGTGTGTAAGAGTCTCCTATATAGTTCTGGATTTGAAGGCATGAAGGGGTCATAGAGAACAGCTGAGGCTTGGCACTGTGAGAGGCCAGGAAAGGCCATTGGTGAAAGCACAGTCTCAGTTTTGGTGAAGACTCCAGCAAGATGGGGTCATGGAGAGAATCTGACGCTTTGCACCCTGAGAGGCCAGGAGAGGCCATCGGTGAAGGTGCAGCCTCAGTTGCAGATGCGATCCCCCACATATTGGAGATACCAGGACCATAGGACAACAACCAAGAGCAGTGGCAGGTATGGGGTGGAGCTGGCCTGAGCCTATGAGACAAACTGTGTGTGCTGTGGACAGCAGAGCCAGAGAAGTGAAGCTGCCTAAGCCCTTTAGAGCTAAGAAGATCGCTAGTGAATCCCAGATACACCCAGCCTTGAGCTACTTTGCTGGACTTTGGTTTTACTTAATTGTACCCGATTCTTCCCTTTTTTAAAAAAAATACTTTATTATTTTATATGTATGAGCGTATTGCCTGAATGTGAATCAAACCCAGGTCCTCTGCAAGAGCAGTCAGTGCCCTTAACCACTGAGCCATCTCTCCAGCCCTGATTCTTCCCTTTTGAAATAAGACAGTACTTGTTTTGGATTTTACAGGAGCCCACAATTACAAGACTTTTAAAGACTGAACTTTTAAAGTGTTTGAAATTTTTAAGGGCTGTGGAACTTTTAAGGTTGTCCTGTTTTATGTTATGATATTAATATTAACATCATATCTTGGACAAGAAATGGAAAGATTGTGGTTTAATAGCAGAGTGTTTGTGTGTCAAATTGACAAGGGGTCAATTGTGTTGGATAGCTTTAGTTGTTAACTTGACACACCTGGTAAGAGGGAACCTCAGTTGAGGATTCTTTCCATTGGATTGGCCTGTGCCCATGTCTGTAGGACATTTTCTTGATTGTTGAGTGATGTGGGAGGGCCCAGCCCACTGTGGTCTGTGCCATCCCTGGACAGATAGTCTTGTTTTATATAAGAAAGCAGGCTGAGGACAAGCCAACGGAGCAAGCCATTCCTCTATGGTCTATGCTTCAGGTTCCTGAGTTCCTGCCTTGGCCTCCCTTGATGATGGACTGTGCTGTAAGCCAAATAAACCTTTTCCTCCCCAAGTTGGTTTTGGTCAGTGTTTTTATCACAGCAAATGAAAGAAAACTAGAGTAGTCACTGAGCGTTTGGAATATGGATTGTCTAAACTTAGGTGCCCTAATTGTAAATCTAACAGACTAGTAGACACTAAAGAAAGTAAGATAGCTCATTAATAATTTTTGTATTTATTGCATGTTCAATTGATAGTGTCTTTGAAATACTAAGCTCAAAACTGTATCATTAAAATTATTTTTATCTGTTTTTGAAAGTAGCTACTAGAATATTTTAAAGTATCTATGTATGTAGCTAGTCTAGAAAGTTGATGTCTAGGTTGATTCATCAGTGTGAATTTATTAAAATAATGGGGTTTTTTGTTTGTTTTTTAATTTCTGAAATTTACTGATGCCATAGAAGCCACTCTCTAAGTGTATTAGGCTACTGTACGGAACCAGCAGAGTCATACTTAATATATTTCGCATATGGGGAACTAGAAAATTACTTAGTATCTCCTGTTTCAATATAATAGGTCTTACAATGCATTCTGGATCTTCTGCAATGTGCAAATCAACTCAATATTTGCTTTTTTTTCTTTCTGGATTAGAGCAGAAAAAATAGTTTTGCTTAGAGACTTCTCTACTGAGCATGGATGCTATTGGATAATAATTTTGTCAAAATTAGCCTCACATTGTCCACTTTTGGCATTAAGAATTCTAGACTAAGTTTGCTGTGAATTACTGAGAATAATCATATTAATAAGAGATCAACCCCTCTGATTAGTACAACTTATTTTCTCTCAGCACAGGATAGCAATGCCCACCTCCAGGGACTGCTGCCGTGGTGGAGAGACAGACACAGTCTATCTGCAGCAGCCTAGGTTGGGCATAGGGATAGAATTCTAGATGCATAGCCAGCAGTTTTTGTAAATAGCATTCAGGGGATTTTATTAGCAGTTACCAGTTTATGCCAATGAAAACTAGACATTGGCTACTTTTGGCATGCCTACCACAGATAGGCTGTGCTTTATAAAGGTCTGGTTCTGTTTTAATGATCCATGCTGTAGACACCTCTCTGCTGTGGGGAGGAATATTTAAGCCTCTGAGCCCAGGCCTGGAATTTGGTTATTGAGTACAATAAATCTCCTAAAATATAAACTAGCATTTTTAAATTAGGAAAACAAACAGCTCTGAAATGATACTAGAATTTTAATAATGTAGTTAATATGGAATCATAGGGGGTTTTGGAGGAAGATGGTATAATCCAGTGTCATCAAAGTCATCAAATTACTTTGTATCTGTTTGAAGGGGAGGTAACTCTTTGGAGATTTGATTGGTGTTTGTAAAGAGTTTTGATATCTTTCATGAAGTATCAAGTCAGGGCCTAAAGTATGTCTTCAGAATTGAGATACCTAAAGCAAACTAGTTTGTATCGTCCACAGCAGATGCTAAGTACTTCTGTGCCTTTGTTCTAAGTTGTACTTAGGACATTTGAGGGGGGATTAATTAATTTTTTTGAGTTGTGCATTTCATATACATCTTAATCAAACTTAAACTCCCTCCCCTACCCCCCATAGTTGCCTCCCACCAGATTTCAGGTATTCTGTCATATATGTTAAGTCCTATCCAGTCAAGCATTTGTATCCAGATGTCACTCAGTGCAAGTTTATCCACTGAAGTGTAGTCAGCCCATCTAGAGGCACTCCCTTAAAGAAGATCTACTCTTCCTCACCCCACAGTAATCATTTGCTAATAGTTCCTTGGCTAGGGTTGGGTCTCCTGCCCATTTCCACCATTCTATGCTGGGTTTTTGACTTATTGAATCAGCATGGGCTTTGTGCATGCTGCACCATTGTTGCAAGTTCATGAGCAAGTTCCCAAAGGCCTGAAAGCCTGTTTCCTTATGTTCATGCACCAACCCTGACTCTTACAATCTTTTCACCCTCTCTTCCACAATGGTTCCTGAGCCATGCATGGGTGAGGATTAATGTAGGAGTCCTATCCAGGGGCAGGGACTCTACAGTCTCTTATTCTCTAAATCTTAGTCAATTGTGGCCTTCGGTGTGCATTACACTCTATTGTATGAGGAAGCATCACAGTTGAGAATTGAGGGATATATTAGTATTCTCTCTACCTCCTGTTCCACTATGTTCCATAAGCCTTAAGTGTAGAGGTTCCACTGTAGGTGTGTCATTTAGGGCTGAGCATCTCTCAGATATATATTCTCTGTGTGACCAAGAATAGAACTCTGTAATAGCCTCTGTCTGTTGCAAAAAGAAGCTTCTTTAATGAGTGGTATAGATGTACTTGTCGGGGTAGAAGGCTGATTTGTGTTTCTTAAACAAATGCCAGAGTGGCATTTGTGTTTCTTAAATAATTCATATTCTGATTTTCTTTTAAATATCAACTGTGTTTTTGGAGTCTTGTATTAACTTAATTTTCATTGTGTTTTGAGAATGGTCAGTCAAGGCTACAAATAGAGAACAGTTTTTCTAGTTCTAGCCAGCTATACATTTAAATGCCCTTTAAAGTGCTTCTTGCCAAGGACAGTGCCTTTTTTAAATATTGAAGATGTTTGTTCTCAGTTGTGATTTAAAAAAAAAAAATTTGTCTATGTGTATATATAAGGGCACCATGTAGGTGCAATGCCCACAGAGACACAAAAATGTAAGCCACCATGTGGGTGCTGGGAATCAAACCAGGGTCCCAAACCGTTGAGCCAGCTCTCTAGCTCAACTGTGACTTTTTTTTTTTTTTTTTTTAGTCAATATGTGTCCTCATCGAAACTCCTTGGGAGGTACAAAAGACAAAGTCGAAAGCAAGAATTAGTTCCTTATCTATAAAGAAAAAAAAAATGTTTTCTGAAGGGTATTCATTAATAGACTTATTAGTGTGTATACTCCTTGCCCATTTAATTTCACAAAGTATCAGCTCTAATCATGCTGTTTAAATAATCTCACTAGATGCCCTTATACTGCTTTTCCTGGAAGAGCAGGCAGTGCTGCCACCTTGTTGACAGTTGTCTGATCTGAATGTGCTTAAAAATCAAGTGATTGTTATAAAAAAAGCTTTATTACTTCTTCTCTTTGTCAGTACTTGTGATACCAATTTAAAATAAGTTAGTTTTGTTGGACCGAATTCAATAATTAGCATAATCATGATGCTATGTATTGTTCATCAGGACACACCCCTTGGCCAAATTCCCATTAAGAGGACACCAATGTTGTCCTGCTGAATAAATCCCGGCTCACATGATGCAAACTAGCGTGTTCCTGCCTGCTGCTCCGCTGAAGTTAATTTTAGCCAGGGCTTGTTCTATGAGTTGTAAAACTGTTTACCCAAGTAGAAGTTAGCAAGCTGAAATGTAACTTCTGGGCCTAATATGATAGGTATCTATTTTAAACTTCAGATTGTGTTTATGATCCGGAGAGCAGACTTCTGAAGAACTGTGGTTCAGATTTCCTTTCAAACTACTTGTAAGTACTCTGGGAATTTTAAAGACTTCTCTTTGTTCTTTGTACCTTAAATCTTCCTAAAGTGACTTTCATATAGTCTTGGAAAAGCTGGAGTTGGTGCTGCAACAGGGCCTTCTCACAAAGCGGCACAGGGTTTTCTCCACATGTACACTGCTGGGAGCCTCTGGCTTAGTCAGCTTTCTCTGGAGAGAATAGTTAATTCTTACTTATTTTTATTTTTTTTTAAAGTCTGTAGATTAGTCCTGATTCTAGCTGTTAAAATGTTTGATTAGTGGAAATGGTATATAGACAGAAATTTATATTGTGTCACTAAGTTGTATTTTCTATGGTGACATAACTATTGGGGAAAAAAATGCTAAAGTGAATTCCTTTTATACCCCATTCAAGAGTATGCTGCAGAAACAAGAGAGTATCAAGTGTCAAATGTCATCCCACTAAATGCTTAGATGAAAAGCATCTTTTTAAAGAATTTGTGCCTAAAAAAGAGACCCAAATACTCCTAAAGAAAATCACTTTATAAAAATTTATTTAGGAGGAAAGTTTTAGAGTATAATTTAAAGGGTCCTCTGGCTGAGTTAGTTAGCCAGGGTATACAAAAGCCATGAAGTGTCTGCTCTTAACTGCTTTTCATCTAACTTAAAGTTAGACTGAAGCAAACTAAAAATTTCAGTATTTTAAATTAAATCCAAATTATCCTGCTTAGCTTGAATTACATTTACATACAGAATAGGCTGACCTTATGCCAAGCAACTTACTTATGACAGAACCAGGAAGAAATTTATTTTTCATCTAATGTGTAAATTACTTCAGCTTTAGGAATACTGATTTTAATGAAACAGTGGTGCTTCCCTGTCTCCCTATGAGCAGACGGAGGCAAACCCTGGGTTAGTATTATGAATGTCATTTTTCCATTTTTGCAAAGCTTTATTTAAGGAGTTCTTTGTAATTATGTGTTGTCTAATTTTAAATACAGATGACATTAGGTGTCAACAATGAAAGGAAATGTTTCAGTCATACATTTAGAAGGAAAAGAATGTAAGAATTGAAAATAGAACTGAATTCCTAGGCTAATTTTAGAAACATGCTTTTTTTAAGCTTGGTTTTTTGAGCAGAGGAGAAATCTTTAGTCCAGATTAATTATAACAGAAAAGTCATTGTCATCTTGAGCAAGGGATTCTGTTCCAGCAAATGCTTCATAATGTCCACTTTATTGAAAGAGTGCCACAGCTCTTGTCCTGATGTTAGCTGTTCCTAAGAAGCCATAGAATGCAATGGAACGGAATGTTTTTAATAGTGTACTGTAGTCGTGCTAGTTTTCAGACTAAAATTCATTTGACCAATTATACTTTTTAGTTCTGCCAAAAAGAAAAACTAATAAGAATTTGTTCATTTTTAATGTCACAGAAAGAGGCTTCTCTATTAGTGTCTACTAGCACGTGTTTTAGGGCAAGTTGCTAAAATGTTCATAATCATTTCCAGATTGTACTTTGGTGATTTATGCCACGAGAGTGAGCTAGATGAACAGAAGAGGAAATATTCAACATGAAATTATGGAAGTGGCAGCAGTGGCTTTCATGTGATTGCTAGTTCCACAGTTCTCCTTAACTACTTGGTATTCTGTGTGCCCCATGAAGTGGTACCTGTCAGAGGTCCCTCATGTTGATTTGTTGTGACCTTGAGTGTGACAGATCACTGTGAGCTCAACTGATATGGCCACAAATCGGGGAGGGGGGTCACATGCTGAGAAACACAGACAGCCTTCTACAAGAAGAACCCAGGAGTCCAGTGGACCCAGGTACTATGCATTACTGCTACCCCATTGCAGATCTATCCTTGGGTTCTTTGGAAGCTGCTCTCACTGACTACCCTGGTCCTTGCTTCTTTAACTGTTGTGATCCGGAGGCTTTGACAAGACAGCTGCCGACACAGTAAGTTTACAAGTGCTTTACTCCTGCAGCATCATCTTCTGCTCTGAAGCTTTGAGGAGCTTATCAGGAAGTTTTCTCTGGCTTCCCTTCATTCACATGATACTTGGTTGGTTGGTTGGTTGGTATGATGCTGGAAACAGAATCCAAGGCCCCACACATCTATTTGACAAGCACTCTACCTCTGAGCTACTTCGCTAGGCCCCATATGAGGGTTTTAATCAGTAGCTTGTCCACATAACTACAAGGCAATTATATTCTATAACAGGTTTCTTTGGCTCAGTGATCACTTTCCTAAAATATTCTCTTTTCAAAAGACTATTTGGGAGGGAGAGGTTGTTGTATATCCAGTTTCAATTGTGTTATCCAAAATGAAAGAGTAAGCAGAGAGAGGCCCGTGTTGGCACCAATCTATGGCCGTAGCTGACTGGGGAAGCATGCTGATGTCTCTGGGAAATACTGGGCCTGCTGTTATTATCCCTGTCTACCACGCACCCCACAGCACAAAGAGAACATAGTTTCTACTTGCAAAGAGCTCACATGCTAAACCTCATCAGCACCAGGAAACAGGCCCTGACATACAGTAAACAAACAGGCAAAAGATAAAATACAAAAAGAGAGAAATGGGAAACAAGAGCATGAGAGGAGTTGAGAGCACAGTAACTTTCAATTCATCTGGGCATTTGCAGTGTAGGATTGGGACACGCTCTTGTATCTTGGTGCTGCTTTGTCCTCGGCAGCAGCTGGGAGTGAATTGTCCCTCTCTCCCATTCCTTGTCACGTTCCTGCCAGGGAAGGAGGTGCCACTGTTTCACTTCACCCAAAACTGTTGCTGTTTGGTAGCTTCAGATCTAATCCAACAAATAAAATGCAGCCCTCTCTATTAAGTCGTTTGACACAGAAATCCGACCTTCAGCTCCAGGTTTTCTTTTCCCTCTTGTACGTCACCTGACCCTGCTCTGGCTTAGAATGCTGGGTCGTCTATCTAGTTTGTTAGGCAGAGCTTTGAGTTTCTCAGAAAATAGGCATTAGGAAGGTCTATGAGGCATTACTGCAATTCATAAGGAGTCAGAAGCACCTGACTCAGGAGCGCTAACAAGGCAGGCTTGGCTATTGAAGATTAATGAATGTACGCACAAGGGTTAGATCTAAGTCACTCAGCTCCTGACATCAGTCACAGCAGGTCTCTGACTCAGACTCTGGGTCTTGTTCATGGCTCTACAACTGAAAGTAACTTGGATACTCAACAAAGAACCTAAAAAAAAAAAAAAAAAAAAAAAAAGGGTTGGGGAATGGTAACTATAATAAGAGGTTAGAGAAAATTTATCATTTAGCCTGTAGGGGAGAAAAATGGCCGAGGGAGTCTTAAATTTTTTGTTCAAATATATGTGTGCTTCAGTCCAAAGAACAATGATAACCAGCTGGTATCCACTTCCCCATTTGAAATATAAGGGTTAGGGGTCGACAGTGATTGTCACAGTGTGATTGTGACTCACTGATGTCACACCAACCATGAGAAGTACAAAATTTATGAGAAGTACAGATTCTCAGGACCACCAAGATCTATTGATTCGGAATTGGTGGGGGTAGAGTTTAGCACTTTAACAATCCTCTGAATTGATTCTGATGCTCACCAATATCTGAGAACCACTATATGAGGTATTAGGAAGAAAAGTATCATAAAAAGTAGAAAATGGATCCTGAAAAATATAAACCTTCCCTCTGAAATCGTATAAACCTGGGTTTATATTTATTTACAGTAATTTCAATATTATTTCTGAAGTCAGAAGATACATGACCTTTCAAAATCTCTGATAGTCCTGACTTGGCTCTAGGTTTCTTTTGGTCACTTAATATTTAACCAGGAAAGTACTGCAGTGATTTCTGAATTCAGTGATTAAGACAGTGCCTATCTTACTTGGGTTTTTGTTTTGGTTTTTTTTTTTTTTTTGGTTTTGGTTTTTATACTTCCCTGTAGCCCCAGCTGGCCTGGAACTCACTATGTAGACCAGGC